TTTTTTCTTACACTTTTAACATGTTATATAGTACATATCTAGGTAATTGTGAATATATGACTTTAAGTAGTAGATTTTCGCTACTTATTGCTGATTCCATGAAATGTAGTGCCCATGACGAGTCGTTACACCTATTTATAGCATGACACATTTTCATTCCTACTAACTATTTATGAAAAAGTCTAACATGAAGCATCTAAATAGATGTCTCGTCCATGAATCACATATTAAGATAGATAGATATAATATTAAAAAAAATATATGGTAAAAGATAATTATAAATTTTTTGTCCAATAAAAAGATAATATTATATATATATAAGGAGGGACCTGTTTATATTAGGAATAAGTCTATCTAGAGTTACTCAATTTAATAACTCATGTTTTACATTAAATTTTAATGATCCAACTATTGAATTTAAAATTCTTAATGAATAAATCAAGTCTACAAATTTTTAAAAAATTGAAAATCATTTGATACTTCATTTCATTAATTCAAATAGACAGCTAATCATAAAATCATTTTATAGGTTGATTTGAATTAATAAAATGAAATATCAAAAATTATTTTCAAATTTTTAAAAAATTTGAAGACTTAATATATGCATTTAGAACTTTAAATTTAATAATTAAATTATTAAAATTTAATATAGAACATAAGTTATTAAAAGGAGTAAGTCAAGGTAGACTTACTCTTTGAATAAATAGATCCCACTTTTATATATATATATATATATATATATGATAAAGCAAATTTAAGATTGTAAGACTTGTTCTAAAAATTAGAGGGGTCGACATGATTCTTTTAGGATCAATCTATGTCAATATTAAAATAATGATCGATTAAAAAAATAACAATCCGCAATCACAAGCTAATTCTTAATTGTTTAACTTTGAAGTACTGTTTGGATTATATCTAGAAGAAGAAAAAAGTTTTGATTAGACTTAATTTTTCAATTTCACATTTATCTTGCATCAATTATATATGCTTCAAATGAGAAGTAATCTCGTATTTTTAGTATTGAGTTTATCAGGCAATGCATCTACTAGTTCTCGAGTTTTGCCTCCCTTGTCTCTATTTATACCACATGCAGGTTTGATTGTTTGCTTGTTTTCTTCTTAATTTAGTTCAAATTAGTGTTTAATATATAGTTAACATTTGATGACATTTAAACATATAATTCTTTATGGAATCATGATGAGCTCAAATTTAACGACTATATGCACCACAATCACTTTAAAACTCGCATGAAACCTTTTCACCACTCTTCTATGTAGTGAGTGTTCTTATAATATTGAGGACTCAAATCACTTGTCTCACATTGTGGATTAAAAATAAAAATATATATATTTCAATTCTTTTCACTGATCTTTAGCAGATCCCTTACGTTAGTTACCCTCCCTCTGTTATGATACTCATCACAAAATTCTCCAGGGGTATGCCACCAGGCCCACCATGACTAATACTCATCTTTAATTCTTCATCTTCACGCTTTGGTAATGATTTTAATTTTCCCTTTCCACTCGCCCAAATCATACATATTACAAGACAATTTATTCAATAAAAAATGTAAATTAATTAATATATGAGATCTCGTCTTGCAATTTATAAAAAAGGCCTCACGACTCTGCTTCCTAAACTATTTGTTCTGTGCGACTCCTTGTTCCTGACCTCGAATGCTTCTCTAATTAATATCTTCTGTGCATCCAATGATCGTAAGGGAGAAACAACGGTTTGGAATGTTGCCAGTGCATTATACGAGTGATAGAAAGGGAGAGGCAGCTGGTTGGAGTGCACAATACGAACGTAAGGATTCATCAAATATATGTGAAAAGAATTGAAATACATATCTATATATATATACACGTATATTTTAATCCACATGTCAAGATTTCATTGATGGGATATAAAGTGAAACTAGTAATTTGCATCGGTCAATTTAATGTATCATTACACTAATCATGTGATGGAGACCCATGGGTTAAGGGTCCAATCATTAGGATTATGGTCAAGAGACTAGAGGAGGAGTGAGCCAACACCAAAGAAAAACCCATGACATTGTTTAGTTGGGTTATACATTAAAAATTCAAATAGTTTAGGTTTGGGCCATTTAGATTTATAATTTTGTTTTAGACCTTGTATTTTGGGTCAAGTAGTATATGTTAATTTTAGGCCATGTGTTTCGGCCATTTATGAAATAATTTCATGTGAGTTTATATTTAGTGTCATTTGAGACATATTTAAGGTGTAATTAGAGTCATGTGACTGGCTATGTGGATGGTACACATGGGGTGACTCAAATTCACCTCAAATGCGAATCAAATCACATTTAAATGCAAAACACACATGTAGCACATGGAGGAGCCGAGAATCTAGGAGTGCAAATTCAAATTTGAATTTTAGGCGCTAAGAGTTAAAATTAGTCATACCATAGTTAATTCTAACTCTCAATCACTCTAGCTTCTTTGGCACACATCTGTGGCCTATATATAGAGTAGGACCATGTATCATTCTCACTTTTGAGCATTAATTGAGAGCAAACTTCTATATTTTCTCTCAAAGTTGAGAGTCACCTAGAGTGAGGGAAAACAACTTTTCGCCTTGAGATTTACTCCTTATAGCCTTGGAATTCTATCCGAGGAGCTTAGGCAAAACTTTTTCAATTCTTCTCCTTCTTTTCATTGGATTCATACCTTGAAGAATTCCTCAAGGATTCAAGGAGTAACGTGTGAAGAATCATGGAGTTGCATCAATCTAAGACTCCATCATCATGTATTTATGTGAAGACTTGATATTTGATATTTATAATCCGTGATAGTCGTCTACTCATACATGTTAGTTTCAATGCATTGTTGTTGTCCTCATTAATAATAATACTTAACTAAGAATTTATTAAGTACCACTAAATGCATATGTTATATTAATAAAGAAATAAAACAATATACAAATGTAAATGATAGAGTATTGATATCTAAGACTTACTCTAACAAAGACATATTGATTGATTAAATAGTCTAAATAACCTTGTCATTTTTCGCATGTAAACAAGTTTGGTTAATTAAGTAGGTTCAACTTATTTTTTTGATGATTGTCAATATTCATAAATGCTTTAGTGATTTGCCACAATCTTATACAAACAATCTCACTTGATACATGTACAAATGACTTTATTAAGTGCATGTTACAAATCATATACCATATATAAAAAATATAAAATTATTAAAATATTTATGAGTTTAACCTTTTTTAATGCAATATTTAGAAATTTCTCACACCATATATATAAAGGGACTAAAATTAATTAATTTTGTGCTTGCAATTAAAAAAAGTTAGAGACTACTTTCATTTGTCAACTCATTTTCTCATACTTACAAACAAACTTTAATCCAATTATAACTAAAATTATCATTTAACTCCTTAATATATTCAAACCTTAATCTCTTGCAAATTGGAGTTTAAGCTTCTTGATTAAGTTATCAATTCCTTGAATAACTTAACCAAGAACCCAACTTAAGAACAAGAATTTATGAAGGACTAATAGTATATGCTCTATTCCTAGAGATAAGCACTATTAGTTTCCCTACTTCGATGCAATGGTTCACAAGCATTTTTCAATCACTTTAAACCCATAAAATTAAGTTAAGAGATATCAAACCATAACAAACATTAAGCAAAGAAGATAGAGCAATAATACTTAATAAGAACTAAGATTAGTAACTTAATTAGAATGTTAACATGAGAAAAGGTATGATTACATCAAATCTCAACAAGGGAGAACTTAATTACACATAAACATGGAACACAAGAAAAACAATGGAGAAATGAAGAAACTTGATCTTGAAGTCATGAGAACTCTTCCAACTGCCACAAACTCCAAAAAATGTTCCTTTTTGATATGCCCTCCAATCTCCCCACTTTAGGTCATAAACTTTTTTGTCTTTTTTCAATAATGACATATCAACATTTTTGGGGTTAAGTTTAAGAATCAATACTTAATGTGAGATATGGAACAACAAGAATTGGACCTTTGGAGTTGTGGCGCCAAGCGTGAAACTTAATCAAATATTTTTCTTCTTTCTTGTTGCTTTACCAAGCTTTCCACTTGTTTTTTTCTTATTTTCCATCCTTTTCCTTCTCAACTACAAAATAATACAAAAAAAAACTTGTAAATTACCTAAAGATATGAGTTATAAACTAAAGATGATTTTTATAAATTAAAATAAATTTTGGTTAAATCAAAGTCTTAAGTAAAAAAAAATACTTTAAATTATACCATAAAATTAAAGTAATGGACACTTATCAATCCAATCAGCATTAATGTGCTATCTAATAAAGTAAAAAATCTACTATTTTCCATACCAGATATTCATGGTACATCACAAATATTTCAAATTATGCAAAATTTTCTAATTTTGAGAATATCATACCTCTAAGTAAACATACTCATAATTTGCTGAAGTCCAAAAATTTCTGATATCTTATTACCTAAACCATGCACTATGTCCTGAATAATACTTGTCTTCTATAACAACTTTAAGCCGACAAATAAATATATACAAATTATATGTAGACACTTCTATCCAAGCATTATAGAAAAAAAATGAGATGAACGTACCGAAACTTCCTAATAACAAAACATGATTAGAAGCCTCTCTCTATCACGAATTAAACCCGAGTAAGTCAAGAGGCAAGTGAATCGAGTAAAATTTGACCTAAAATTCCAAAATCTAACGAGGCAATTTTATGCAACCCAAGCCATGATAAACCACAAATTAGGTAGCGGGTCAGAACGATAATGTAAGATTACATATAGTCACCATTCACAAGCTCCCTTTAGGATGTGTGAAGTGCAATGTTCTCCTTGGTAAAATCCACAGGTAATTCATGGGACAAAATCAAATTTTCAAGTCTTGAGTCATTAATCTTTTTTAAGTATGTAGTTTAACTTAAACTAGAAACAAAAAATAATAAAGTAGCCTTAAAGTCAAGGAAAGCAAAAGTGAATAAATGAAGATGGTTGAATTAATAAATTGGTGAAAATGTACACTGTACTCATCCCTAAACAGGACGCGGCGAAAGACGAAAAAAGAAGGGTCCTAAATTAGAAATTTTACACAACCATGAGGGGCGAAAATCCAAAAGGAGATAACGGCGACAACGGCGGCACGTTGAAAATCTCCTTAACATCACTGTCCCAGAACCCCGTCCACATAGACGGCGTTAACGGCATCTCCCTAAAACAATTCACGTCATGTTCCGTCGTCGTTCTCTCCTTCTTCACCACCACCGCCTTCACTTCCTCCACCTCCGCCTCCTCCTCCTCCTCGCGCCGCCGCTTCCTCTCGTCGCCGGCCTCCTCCGCCGCCGCGCTCACCTCGAGGGGAAAGTTCAGGATGGCCTTCGCGCCGCGGAGCCTGAAGGCGGCGCGGTCGTAGGCCTTGGCGGCGTCGATGGCGGTGTCGAAGGTCCCGAGCCACACCCTGGACCCGCGCTTGTTCGGGTCGCGGATCTCGGCCGCGAACTTCCCCCACGGCCGCTGCCGGACGCCGCGGTAGTGCTTCTTCTCCGGCGGCGGCGGCGGCGGCTCCTCCGGGTTCCCGAACTGGATCCACTCGGTCTTCTTCGGGAGAGAGATTTGCAGCGAAGGTTTACGACTCAATTGACCTTTCTTCTCCTGATTGGAAGTGGAATTAAGGGACTTTGGGGTTTCGAGGTCGATTACTTCGGGCTTGGAATCGAATTCGAAGAGGGGAAATTGGGTTTCCGTGAAGTAGTGGTTGAAGGAAACAGAAGAGTCAGAGTTAGAAGACTGAGAGGGGCTAGGGTTCGCTTCGTGTAGTTCGAACCAAGGTTGTTGTTGATGATTTTGTTTTGTTTGGGGTGTGCTGAGTGGAGAGAGTTCACCCAAAAGATGCAATTTGATGCGGTTTAGGGCTGAAACTTCATCTGGGTTGGCCATCGCTAAATTTGAAGAAGCACCTTTTGTTTCTTGTGTTTGAGATTTGGAGAGTTTGGTTTGTGGAATTGTGTTGTGTGTCTATGTTGAGTGGAAAGGGGTTTATATAATGGGGGAAAAGATGAATCATTTAACGTCTATGCGACTTTCAACCCTCGTGCTACGATGGAACCACGAAGCATCGTTTTTCCTCACCAATTATTCTTTATTGTGGATGGTTTGAATTTTCTGTGCTAGGGAACATGTTAGTAACCTTGCTCCATATCTTGTCCACATCAACTGCACCCCCTTTACTTTATCATTATCCATTTCCACCAGGTTTGTCTTTTCTGGTATCGTTACTTATATAAAAGGTGCTACCTGCTCTCCTTTTAATTTTTTAGTTGCTGCTTTTCTACCCCTTTTGTGTTAAGTATCCTTTTATATATGCCACCTCTAGGAAGTTATATTATTTCTCAAATTTGGAAGTTTTCACCTAATATATTTAAGTAACTTCCAACTTCCACATCAAATAGCTTTTTAATAAAATTATTTATTTTTACCTGAATGACGTGAAATTTTCTATGTTACAAATTTAATGATAATTAATTAGGGTTATATGACTTGGTTCTCACACAGTTATTGAAGAGATAAAGAAATTAACAAAGTGAAACATATTTGATCTGAGAACTTCAGCTAATTAAACTATGGCTGTAACGTGCAAGCAAAGACTTAGTTTCAAGTGACTTTGTTGTTATATTATTTCTATATAATTATGTATGAATAATTTATATATATATATAGTTCAGTGTGGAGTCGTGCATAATACCCTTTGCGTTCAAGTTTAGACAAAGAGACAAGATAGAGATAAAAAAACATTAAAAAATAATCTGGAATGATATATATGATCCTGTTGCTTTCATTTACATGTTACTAAGAATGGAGATGGCCCATAGTCTTACTTTGTAGAAATAGTCTTAAATCATTTATCTTGTTGAAATGGACAAAATAAAATATTCAATTACTTTTTTCACTTAAAAATAAATAAATTACTGGCGTTATATTATTTTTTGTATATATTACTATGAAATAAAATCAAGTTTTTATTTTATTATTTGGAATTTAAATAGAATAAAATAAATATTACATAAAATAAGATCAAATAAAATTTATCAAAAGTTATTTTTGTTCGAATTTATTTCAAATTAAACAATAACAATAGAGTCTTTTTTTATTTCATATCTGAAGATAGCTTTAGGCCCCAGGCAAATAGGCGTAAAGTTCAAGAGTCTTCAATGAAGGATTCTAGAAAAGAAGAAATTTCTACTTTGTCTTGACAAACACTTCAATGTAAAACGAATATGGCGGTGATAACATGATCTAGAACAGTGCTACTATTCTTCTTTGGTGAGTTAGAACAAATTTATTTTCGAAACTGTTGATGCTTTAACTCAAACAGTAACACAGTTCAGAAGGTCTCTCATTCAGCACTACCCGATGAATTTCTAGGTATTGACTTCGTCGTCTCTTCGCATTCACTTATTTGCTCTTCTGTCAGCCGGCTACGATATCATTTCTATCCTTTAAAAACCAAGATCTGACAAAAAGAAAACAAATAAAATGTGAATTGTTGTAATAAATAATATAATGGAAAGAGATAAAATGTGAATTGTTGTAATTAAATTTATCATTACTTACTTTTCTCTTAATTAATCATTGCCTAACATGGTATGGCCCCTTGTTGATTTATTGTTTTATGGCAAATAACAATATAGATAGGTCTTCTGGATGCACAAAATTTAGGTATTAGATTAGAAACCACCTTTAATGAGTGTTGTTAATATTGTTCGGGCGGGTAATAACTGGTCATAAGCATACACACATGTTGCAATTAAGATTATGAGACAAAATAATAGACTTTAGAAAAGATGTTAGGTTAGATATATAGTCCTCTAATGGATCATACCAATTATGCTTTACCACTTTAAGGAGAGAAGCTTTTGATTTTGGCTCTCTTGGACCCAGCACTAATCCATAATTAATGCCGAACTTGTTTATAATAGAACACTCTAATTGAGCTTTCCTTAAATAATTTCAATTTTAATTGAATGAATGGTGATGAAGTAGTCAATGTTTATAGGTTTATAAGTCATCCTAATTTGTTTGTGTCTTCAGGCCTGTTTTAACTACTCCATTCTTTATTATTTGTTAGTAGTTAGTAAGGGACCATCGGAGGATGAAAGCATAGTCTGGCTCATTCGTTTTTGAAATTCCATTCCCAACAGAAAGTGAAGTGAAATATTTAAACTAAGTCTAACTTGTTGCCGAGTCATAAACACGATAAAAGAGCAGTTATAATCAAAAACTTAGCTTCATTACATAATTATTATCTATCGTCTGTCTTTATACACGATTCATAAAACGTCTTGCTACGGTTGACCCCAACGCGTCATGTAGAATCTTGGGGAATTTATTACCAGGAAAAATTGTTGACACTTTCAACTGCTGAAGATTGAAATTGTCACTGAATTTTTATCAAGGGGTGAAAATTCGAGAGAAATTTCAGAATTTGAGAAGCAATTAATTTGATTGTGTGATTGGAACACAGCAATTCTAGAACAAGTGATAATTATTGATTAATTATTTGAGAATTGGGTGTTAAATCTTATCGTGCATGACTCATTTTATTATGGATTGGCAGATGTATATATAGGAACAATGTTGTAAGGGTTTGATTAGATAAATTTTTTTAGAAGTATTTTAAAAGAGAAAAATAAGAATGAAAAATAAAATAAATTTTTCATAAGATGGAATTAACTTATAAAAAAATTAACATGAAGAAGTTTTTTACCTATAAGATTTTAAGATCTTATAAATTTTTAACTGCATAAACTAGTTTAGCATATCAAGAAATATTTTTTTTTTTATTTTTTTCTTTTAGAAGTAATACCAATATAGTAACCTTTCCAAACTGACCCTAAATTATATTATATATATACAGAGAGAGAAAAGTTTAAACTGATACTAATAACTTTTATCAATTATTATATTACTTAATAAATTTTAATTAAATGTGAATTTTTTTTACTAAATCGTTGAATTATAACTTCATACTATCTTATATATTTATATCAAATTTTGTTAAAATTTAATACCAACTTTTAAGTGATTAAAGTGTTTATATTTTATTAAATTTTGATATATGTTACATTAATTTTTTATATATAAAAATGAGATATCAAATCATATTAGATTAATATAATATTTTATATATGTGATCTAGGAATAAGAAATTTTTAATCTAATGATAAGTTTTATAAAATTCATATTTAATTGAAAGTTATTTAACACTATAATAGTTGATAAAAATTACATTGATATTATTTGAGTCATCCTCATATATATATATATATATATATAT